TGTTATTGCTGTTGTTGTTTAGCCGCTCAGTCATATCCAAGTCTTTGCGACCCCATGGACTGTGGCACACCAGGCTCCTCCATCTGTGGGATTTCCCAGCAGGAACACTCGAGAGGGTTGTCGTTTCCTTCTCCAGCTCATTAGATGGCGTCTTTTATGGGGGCACATCCTTGAGTACACATTGCATCTCACTGTTGCTATTGTTCAGTCATTAAGTCGTGTCTGACTCTGCAACCCTGTATATTGCAGCACCCCCAGGCTTCCCTGTCCTTCACTATCTCCCAGAGTTTGCTCAGTTCATGTCTATTGAGTCCATCATGTGATCTAACCATCTCATCCTCTGCCACCCCCTTCTCCTCCTGCCCTCAATCTTTCCCAGCATCAGGGTTTTCTCCAATGAGTCGTCTCTTCACACCAGGTGGCCAGAGCATTGGAGCTTCAGTTTCAGCACATCCTTCTTAGCTTCCAGCATCTCAACCCATCTCTCCGACCTTCAGGAAACCAGATGCCATCATGGTGAGTGGTCACTGTATTGGTCAAGGGAAATTGGTTCTTTGATTTCAAGCTTGAGGGGCCTGGGCAGAGCTGTGTTTGAGAAGACAGACAGACAGCGTGGCCTCACCCAGGCCAGCAGACTGCATCCCAGAAGCGCTTTGGGCCACGTGACTGACCTCTCAGGAGCTGTTCTGGATACAAATCTCAGACACAAATTAACCAACAACATCTTCCAAGGAAAACACAATCATTTCCAGTAAAATATTAAAATAAAATCAGGGAGAACTTCCTGCAATTACTTTCTTTTACCGGAATGCCAATATCTTTACATCCTCTGAATCTTTAATATTTTCAATGTTTAGAGAAACTCCCAGATGGTTGTTTGTCTATTAAATAAGTTTTAAAGATATACTTTGTGAAGTGTGGCTGTATCTGGATGGAGAGATTGTGGAGTAGTTTCACTTTTTAGTTTTCTATGTTTTGAATTGTTTGAACTTCTTACAGGGCAAATATATGTTTTGAAGTTTACAGATATATACTTTGCAATCGGAAAAGTAATCTTCACAGGTTGAGAACTTCCTGGATTATTGTTCCATGTCAAGCCAGCCCTTTGAGTATCTATCGATGAATGTATATTACACGTGGGGCTTCCCAGGTGGTGCTAGTGTAGAAGAACCCAGTGACCAAAGCTGGAGATGTAAGAGACTCAGGTTCAATCCTTGGGTCAGGACAGTCCCCTGGAAAAGAAATGGCAACCCACTCCAGTATTCTTGCCTGGAGAATCCCATGGACAGAGGAGCCTGGCGAATTACAGTTCACAGGATGGCAGAGTTGGCCGTGACTGAGGCCACTTAGCACACACCCATATTACAGGTATGTTTTTGCCTACAGTGTAATGCCATGCCCTTATTAATGCTCAATAAATATTAGTTGAATAGAATTATCAAGAAAGATACAAACCCTGTCTCTTAGCATTGAGAACACAATCCATCGCTGTCTTAACCATTGTTACAGACTGAATTCTGAACATCTATCCATTCAGTTCATCCTAAAATGAATGAATGGAAAACGAGGGAAGGAGGAACAACAAAATGGGAACCTCAGAGATATGTGAGGGGATACATCCTTCACAGATCCTCCTCACGCTAAGGAATTCTGGAAGGCTGTGCCCGTGATTGCCTCTTGGTTGTTTTTTAACCAATCTTGGTGTAAACCTGTGCCTTCCTGTCTGTTTGCGCTGCCAGACTCTTCAGAGGCCCCGTCCAACCCCTTACCATATCTGCAGCAGTGTTTAGCGCCCTAGCAGCCCTGAGTGTGAATCCGCTGTACCTGTGTTCGCTGCATGTACTGTGGCCTCACCTGGAGTGGAATGAAGCATGTTGTCTGAGGACTCACCAGCACCACATCCTCCCCAGCACCACATCCTCCCCAGGCATGCAGTGCCCGGCCCTGCCCCCAGGCGAGATATTTACCCGGGCACGTGCTCAGCAGGGCTGAGTCACCAGACCCTCAGAAACCTCACCTCCTAAGGCGGGCTGCTTTATTAAAGAGTTGGCTGAGCACCAGCAAGTGAGCTATTTTTATTCAAAACTCGGGCTCAAAGATAAAATTATGGCCGAGAGGAAAAGAGATGCTGAATGTGCTTTCTGGAAAGTCTAAAGTGAAACGCTCTTGCAGTCCTGCTGTTGTTCCGAGGGCAGCACTTGAGTCAATCAGCAGAGCCTTGTTCGTGTTCCTGGGGGAGAAATCAAGCCACAGGATGCAACCCACATGCCCCTTATGTAGACAGGGGCGCATCCTTGCCACATCCAATGCTGGGGCCCAGAGTGGTCAAACTGAAGAGCATCCAAAGCAGAGCATGAAGCCAACTCACGTCAGCATCAGGGTTTCCCAGTGGCTCAGCAGGAAAGAATCCGCCTGGAATCATTGGGTTCCATCCCTGGGTCGGGAAGATCCCCTGGAGGAGGGCATGGCAACCCACTCTAGCATTCTTGCCTGGAGAGTCGGATGGACAGAGAAGCCTGGAGGGCTACCTGGTACTCTTGGCTGTTCACAAAGAGTCAGACAGGACTGAGCCACTAAGCAACAATAACAACATGTCAGTGTCAGTGACTCTGCAACAGCCCTTGACTCCCAATCACCAACCATGATGTCCTGGTGTTGGGGTTTGAAAAGCCAGGAAGAGCATGAAAAGCCAGGAAAAAAACTAAGTGGGTAGAACTCTTGAGAGAGAGACATAAATAATTCTTTACCAATAGAATTTAGCAGTGCCCACAGAGCTTCCTTCACCACCTCTCCCAACAAGCCTCACTGCCTCTTAGTACATCAGAACATAGATCTAGACTTACGGTTGCCAGGGCAGAAGGATGTGGGGGAAGGGATAGTTAGGGAGTTGGGGATGGACATGTACACACTGCTATACTGAAAATGGATCACCACCAAGGCCCTGCTGTAGAGTACCAGGAACTCTGCTCAATGTTATGTGAGCCTGGATGGGAGGGGAACTGGGGGAGAATGGATACATGTGTATGTATGGCTGAGTCACCCTGCTGTCCACCTGAGACTATCACAACCCTGCTAATCGGCTATATTCCAATATAAAATAAAAAGATTTTTAAAAACTGAGATCCAGGGTCTAGTTGGTGTTTGTAACTCTGTAGGTGGTGGATCAAAGTTTTAAAATTGAGCCAAGAGATGGCCTAAAATTAAGATGGAGGTTAAAGGGAATTGGGAATGGGTGTGACGATGGTGATCCTGAAACACAGGATCGAAACCAGAGCTTCCGCATGCATCCAGACAGCGCCCTTGGTTTGTGGATGGTCCCCGAAGCCTGAGTCTTGTGAGTCAAGTCCCTCGGGCACAGATCTGGGAGGTTTGGCAGGTACTAAAAGTATTTTTGACTTAAGGACGGACTTTATTTTCTTGGGCTCCAAAATCACTGCAGTTGGTGACTGTAGCCACAAAATTAAAAGATGCTTGCTCTTTGGAAGAAAAGCTGTGACAAATCTAGGCAGCAAGTTAAGAAGCAGAGACATCACTTTGCCAACAAAGGTCCGTAGCGTCAAAGCTATGGTTTTTCCAGTAGCCATGTACAGATGTGAGAGTTGGACCATAAAGAAGGTTGAGCACTGAGGAATTGATGCTTTTGAAATATGGTGCTGGAGAAGACTCTTGGGAGTCCCTTGGCCTGCAAGGAGGTCAAACTAGTCAAACCTAAAGGAAATCAACCCTGAATATTCATTGGAAGGACTGATGCTGAAGCTAAAGCTCCAATACTTTTGCCAGCTGATATGAAGAGCTGACTCATAGAAAAGACCCTGGTGCTGGGAAAGATTGAGGGCAGGAAGAGAATAGGGCAACAGATGCTGAGATGCTTGGATGGCATCACTGACTCAGTGGATTTGAATATGAGCAAATTTCAGGAGATAGTGAAAGACAGGGAAGCCTGGCGTGCTGCAGTCCATGGGGTCACAAAGAGTCAGACACAACTTCGAAAATGAACACCATCACCACCATTGGAGTTGATGAATATCTGTATTAGATGAGCCACAAAATTAAGAGAAAAAAGTATAGTCTAAATCTAGCCAAATGAGATTAAGATCAGTATTAATTATAATCAGTCACCTAAAATTTGAGAGCAATTTGAAAATGAAGGGTAAAGAGCCCTTATCCTATTAACATATACTAACATACACTTCATTTTACTTTTTAAATTCCATGAGATCACTTGATGGATTAAACGAAATACTGGAAGAATGAATTCCTTGGACGATGGCACTGTTAGCAAAGGAAGCTAGGGAAAAAAATGACACAGAGAGTCTGAAGCGGTGGGGTTCATCTAAACACCACATAATGGAGAGGGGATGGTGACCGAGGCAGTCACACTTCATCCACTCGTCCGTTCATTCCGTGGTTACTGAATGGTGAATTAGACAAATGAGATCAGGTTGGCATTTCAGAAAGATGACTGGTTGCCCTGAAGAAAGAGGGTGGGAGACTTCCCTGGTAGTACCGGAGCTGAGACTCTGTGCTCCCAAATCAGGGGGTCCAGATTTGATCCCTGGCCAGGGAACTAGATCCCACATGCTGCAACTAAGACCTAGCAGAGATATGTATGGACAGGGGAGCCTGGCGGGAGTTCAGGCTGCTGTTGCGTCTGCCCAGGATTACTGAGGCAGCCTCTAACTACTCCTGCTTCCAATCTTACCCCTTCACACCCTTTTTGGAATATAATATATAATATATATATATATATATATATATATANATCAGTTCTTCGATGCTCAGCCTGTCAGCAGAAGCACATTGACTGAAACCGCCCACCCTGGCCCAGCACCACAGTAACCATTGTGTGAGCTGTTTTAGGACAGGAGGTCCTGGTAAGGAACACGGAACTAATGAGCCACCACCAACCGGAAGAGTTTGGGAAAGGTCAAAAGGAGACACCACATGTCCGACCACCTCCCAGAATCCTTCCCTCTGGCATCCATCTTGGCTGAACAAGGCGTGCACCACCAGGAAGGACCCTGAGTCAGAGTGACTGGTGAGAGACAACCCGGAAGCCAATCCCATCACCATAAAGCCCGAGACTGCCAGCCACGTGGTGGAGCAGCCCTTCTGCGTTCCCTCACCCCTGCTCTCCACCGGGCGCCCCTTCCCAGTGAAGTTTCTTGCTTTGTCGGCTGGGTGTTTCCTCAGATAATTAGTTCCCCAGTGTTAGACAAGGATGATTGTTTGGGCCCTGGAAGGGCTCCCTCTTCTGCAACAAGCCCTCTTTATGGTCCAACTGTCACATCCATACATGACTGCTAGAAAAACCACAGCTTTGACTAGACAGACCTTTGTCAGCAAGGTGATGTCTCTGCTTTTTAATACACTAAGTTTGTCATAGTATATTTTAAATGATCATGAATCCTAATCTGTCCTATTGATTTTTACTGAATTCAGTGGTATTGAGTAAGGTGCTTTGGGTTGCTTTCTCACCCAAAGTTTCCCGTTCCTTATAAATAAGACCCTTTCTGAGCGTGGGCTGTGACCCCTCCCACACTCCTCACAATGTAAGGGGGGTCCATCAGTCACAGACCCTCCGTCCTTACTCATAGGGATTTAGTAAGCACAGTAGTTAAATCAACCATTTCACTGACATTGAAAAATCAATGACAAATCTGTCACTTCACTGACCTCAGAGAAAACTCGTTTTCCTCATATTTTTTAACAGCAATTTTCTCCAATGACTAAAAGTCCAGGGGGAAGAAATGAAGAGGAATATCAAAATGCATACCTAGGATCAAAGGCTAACTTAGCTTAAAGACTTAAACAGGTTTAAGCTAGGTAAACATTAACTTGGTAGGGTATGCATTTGCAGTAGACACAAATGTTTGAAGGGTGAAGTCATCCAGGATTGAGGAATTGTAAATGCAGATAAATCACCAGAAGCAAACGAAAACTGAGATTCGTACATAGGTCAATATCTCAACCATGAAGCTGATAGACTTATCAAACAGAATCTAGAAATACACAGAAAGAACAATGCATCTTGATTCAGTAAAATTGATAGCTAGAATCAGGAAACAGTTTACTATTAGGATTTTAATTTACTGGATTGAGAAAAATCAATATTATTATGTCATAATTAATCAATATAATTATCTCTATATAGCTAGATGCTATGGGTTATATCTAGAAGCTATGCTATGGGTTTCCCCGGTGGCTCAGACAGTAAAGAATCTGCCTGCAATGCAGGAGACGTGAGTTTGATCCCTGGGTTGGGAAGATCCCCTGGAGAAGGAAATGGCAACCCATTCCAGTATTCTTGCCTGGAGAATCCCATGGCTGGAGAGCTTGGCAGGGGCTACAGCTCATGAGTTCACAAAGAGTCGGACACGACTGAGCAACTCACACTGTAACACTGTCACTATCCACAGTGATTTTGAAGCCCAAGATAATAAAGCCTGTTACTGTTTTAATTTTTTCCCTATTTGCCATGAAGTGATAGAACCAGGTGCCATAATCTTAGTTTTTTAAATGTTGAGTTTTAAGACAGCTTTTTCACTCTTCTCTTTCACCTTCATCAAGAGGCTCTTTATGGTCTAGGGTCATCATATACTCTGTTCAGTTATTATTTTTACTTTCTCAGGGAGAGCTTCTGGGGGAGGCTGGAGGACAGGCATGGAACCGGGAAGAAGAAATTCACCAGCATGGTGTCAGCTCTGAGATGGGTGTGTTCACTTACATTATTCCACTGGATTCACAGAAAGCCTGATAAGGGTGATGTTATTCTACGTTTGCAGAGAAGGGAACTGAGACTCTGAGAACTGAAGGTAAAACGCTAACGCACATCTGCCAGACTGCAAACCCACTCTCAGTCACCACGCTGCACTTTCGCACATCAGACACAGGCTCCTCCATTCCGCCAGCCTGGCTTGGAAGGCGGGCGACCTGCCCAAAGGCCGGCTTTTCTCCACAGTCTATAGTCCACAGACTATTTTCTGTTTCAATATCCTATCTCACCAGTTCTAAGATTCACCATTTTTTCTTTCATTTTTAACATCTCTGAAATTAATGCATCTTATATTCACAAGGGCTTCCCTGGTGTCTCAGAGGGTAAATAATCTGACTGCAATGCGGATTCAATCCCTGGGTCGGGAAGATCCCCTGGAGAAGGAAATGGCAATGCACTCCAGTATTCTTGCCTGGAAATCCCATGGACAGAGGAGCCTGGAGGGCTACAGAGCACGAGATGGCAAAGAGGCGGACACGACTGAGCGCCTAACACTTTATATTCACAAAGGTTTACAATTACACGTGGCAGCATTTGTGCCTTTCCCAGTGATGTAAAGAACGGTGTGTCTTAGAATGGAGTGTTCCTAGAATGAGTGAGCAGGACATGTTCCCTGAGCCACACAGTGGACTCTGAGGCCAGAGGCAGAAATTCTCCACCCTTCCTCAGGAACCCATGCCAATGGTCGTTTTTTTCAACATCAGGAAATATGTCTTATATGCAACCTAAATCTCTCAGGCTACAGCTGAAGTCCCTGCCTGGCTTGGCTGTTAAAAGAGAATGGTCATCTCTCTTTTTTCTTTTCAGCTCTTTGTGCTAAGCAGTGGGTTAGGAAGCTTGGAAGGACACAAATGAAGTAGAAGATGAGGCTTCTGCCCCCAAAAAGACCCAGAGAAAACCAACTGGGATGCAGGTAAGATAACACATAATTAAGGACCTAATTGTCACAGAGACTGCGGAGCAACTTGTTTTAGTTTTGTTTTCAATACAGTCTCATCATTAAGCTTCGTTCGTTAAGCTTTTCAAAAGCTTTTATGTAGAGACTTCCCTGGTGGTCTGGAGGTTAGGAATCTGCTTTCCAACACAGGGGACATGGGTTCGATCCCTGGTCGGGGAACTAAGATTCCACATGTCACAGGGCAGCTAAGCCCATGCCCCACAACTAGAGAGAAGCCTGCACAGAGCAACGAAGACCATACGCAGCCAGAAACAAAACAAATTAATACTTTTTAAAAGCTGACGTAGAAATACTTTTGCATCAAGTAAGCTAGTGTAGTGGATCCAGTTGATCCCCCCAAGAGCCATGTTCAAGTCCTAACACCGCATCCCCCATTTGGAAATAGAGTCTTTGCAGGTGTGAGCAAGTTAAAATGAGGTCATCCTTGATAAGAGGGGGCCTTACATCTAATGGCTGGTGTCTTTATTACAAAAAAAATTAGTAGAGAGCGATCTGAATACCCGGACTCAGAGGAGAAACACAGAAGAAGGCCATGTCAGGATGGAGGCAGAGGTTGGGATGTTTCCCATATGGCTCAGTGGTCAAGAGTTTGCCTGCAATGCAGGAGACACAGGTTTGATCCCCGGGTCAGGAAGATCCCCTGCAGAAAGGAAGGGCAACCCACTCCAGTATTCTTGCCTGGAGAATCCCAAGGACAGAGGAGCCCGGTGGGCTATACTCCAAGGGGTCACAAAGAGTCAGACACGACTGAGTAACTGATACTTTCACTTTTCATCCTTGATTAGAGTGGTCCTTACATCCAATGACTTTATACCCAAAAAAAAGTAAAGAGTGATTTGAATACTCAGACCCAGAGGAGGCACACAGAAGGTCACGTGAAGACAGAGACAGAGGCTGGGGTGATGCAGCTACAAGCCAAGGCACCCCAAGGATGACCAGGAGTCTCCGAAAGCTGGGAAGAAGCAAGGAAGGATTCCTCCCTAAAAACTCGAGAGCAGGGGTCCCCAACCTCCAGGATCTGACGTCTGAGCTGGAGCTGATGTAATAACAGTAGAAATAAAGTGCACATACATGTAATGCACTTGAATCATCCTGAAACCAAGGGCTTCCCAGGTGGCCCTGACGGTAAAGATCCCACCTGTCAGTGCAGGAGACATGAAAGACGAATTCAATCCCTGGGTCAGGAAGATCCCCTGGAGAAGGGAATGGCAGCTCACTCCAGTATTCTTGCCGGAGAATGCCATGGGCAGAGGAGCCTGGTGGGCTACAGTCCAGGGGGTCGCAAAAGAGTCAGAACAGGACTAAGCAGGTGATAGATGAGAGATGAGATCTCTAAGTCATAGCTGATTTTTTAAAGAGTTTGTGTATCTCATTGTATCATGTATTGCTAAGAACACATTTTCTGTTGTAATTACCTGTTAAAGAAGAACATTATGAAACCGTAGTAACTCTAGAAGAGTATAGACAGTATTGCAGAATATAGAGACTTTTAGCCAGCAAGAACCTTGAGGATCACAATCCCAGTATGAACCATTTGAGAATACTGTGGTCACAGAAAATAGAGACTTAAACTTGCCCCTCTCCAGACAGGTGGAAAGACTCCAGGAGGAAGGGGGCAGGCAGAGTGCATGCTGATTTGAAAGCAAGGAACAAGAGAAGGAGGACAGTGGGCCCCATGCAGATGAAAAGAAAGTTTCCTAAGCGTAAAGACCACCTCTAAATCAGTATGGCACTGTGAACGGAGCCCCTCTCTGGGTGTCAGACAGAACTGAATTCAAAACCCCCATCAGCCACTTAATGAGAGCTGTCATCTTCACTTATTTAAGTGAGCTAAGATCCATCCTCTTCACGTGGACCACAGGGATGACGTCAGAACTCAATAAGGACCAAGCGGTACCTGGGTTCACCGTCTGCAGGGTACCAGGCACCACAGACTCCCAGAGTCAACTTCATGAGGCGGGATCTTATTATCTTTGTCCAGCCCAGAGTACACTCAGGTTTAGAGCAGCTGCCCCCTCAGCCTTTTGAATCCTGACCCTCAAAATACTTGGCTCGTCTCACCTACGAGGCATCGCCCTGAGTCGCCGCCGCCACCGTGAGCAAAGCAGCGATGACACAGCCTGTGTCCGGGGACCAGTCCACTCTGTCTGCACACCCTCAGTCCTGACCCGGAGGAGAGGTGCGCAGCAAGTGTCTGTTAGGGAAATAAAGTAACAAGGGAGGTGGGCAGAATGCAGGCTTTCAGGGTCTCTCCCGTGAGACAGGGAAGGAGAGATTTAATGAGAAACCGCTCTATGTTTGTCAAATAACGAAGTCCAGTTTAAAACATCCACTCTGGGGAGTTCCCTGGCAGTCCTGTGGTTAAGACTTTGCGTTTCCACTGCAGGGGGGCTCAGGTTCGATCCTTGGTCAGGGAACTAAGATCCCAAACGCTGTGCAGGACACCAAAAAAACCCCCCAAAAAACCTGCGTGTGACAGCCAGGTCGGACAGCGCAGTGGTGGCCCTGAGCACACAGGACACACCCTGCCTCCGAGAGCCACGTGCAAGTCGTGACGGGCTGTGGGCAGACACGCAAACGAGTCACACACATACACAGCTCTCAAGGCTAGAGATACATATGTAAATATATATCTTCATTTTACTCGTCTCACCTACGAGGCATCGCCCTGAGTCGCCGCCGCCACCGTGAGCAAAGCAGCGATGACACAGCCTGTGTCCGGGGACCAGTCCACTCTGTCTGCACACCCTCAGTCCTGACCCGGAGGAGAGGCGCGCAGCAAGTGTCTATTAGGGAAATAAAGTAACAAGGGAGGCGGGCAGAATACAGGCTTTCAGGGTCTCTCCCGTGACACAGGGAAGGAGAGATTTAATGAGAAACGGCTCTATGTTTGTCAAATAACGAAGTCCAGTTTAAAACATCCACTCTGGGGAGTTCCCTGGCAGTCCTGTGGTTAAGACTTTGCATTTCCACTGCAGGGGGGCTCAGGTTCGATCCCTGGTCAGGGAACTAAGATCCCAAACGCTGTGCAGGACACCAAAAAAACCCCCCAAAAAACCTGCGTGTGACAGCCAGGTCGGACAGCGCAGTGGTGGCCCTGAGCACACAGGACACACCCTGCCTCCGAGAGCCACGTGCAAGTCGTGACGGGCTGTGGGCAGACACGCAAACGAGTCACACACATACACAGCTCTCAAGGCTAGAGATACATATGTAAATATATATCTTCATTTTACAGGGGAAAACACGTATAAAGAAAGGACTGAAAATCTTTTTTGTTCAAAAAATAAACGGGAATATGTAGATGATATATACTTATATATATATATATATATATATATATATATATCCTCACTTTTACAGATGAGACTCAAAGGTCTTGGGTGATCTGTCACCTCCCGCACAGGGGGCCTGTGCTGAGAAGGCCCGCGGCGAGCGGTCCAGGAGGCTGTCACGTTGCGTTCATGTCATACGCATTGCCAAAGCCTGAGTCGGGCCTGCCCCTCCCATGCAGCAAGGCTATGGGCCAACACGATTTGTTCCAATGGCTTCACCAGGGACAAAGGGCAGACGTTTGCATGAATAAATAAACCTCAGGCTTGATGTCTTATTTCTATCCAAAGCCAAAGACCTATTGTCCTTTTGTCCCTGGGGCAATCTTGTGATGATTTTTCATTTGTTTCTTTGCCTGTTTTGTGGCCCACCAGGCTCCTCTGTCCATGGGGTTTTCCAGGCAAGAATCCTGGAGTGGGTTGCCACGTCCTCCTTCAAGGGATCTTCCTGACCCAGGGATCAAACCCACATCTCCTGCCTGGTAGGTGGATTCTTTGCCGCTGAGTCACCTGGGAAGCCCCCTTGGGGAGCAATCTTGGTGGGGCTGCGCCGGCCCGACAGTACCTGTCCTCTGGCCTGCATCACCCTGCGGCCACGGGGACCTGGAGATGGAGACCCTTCCCACTGCGCCGTCACCCTCCCCGGTTGCTGCTGAGCTGACTTGTCTGGTTTTGTTCACTGTCCTTGTACTGGGGCTTTTGCTTCCTGGCAGGGGCCTGTTTTTCTTTGCTTAGATCTACTTTTACTAACACATTCTTATAGTTGGGCAAATTTCTGTATTTTATTTTTTTCCCCCTGCACAAACAGCACCTACTGCAGTGTTCTTGCCTGGAGAATCCCAGGGACAGGGGAGCCTGGTGGGCTGCCCTCTATGGAGTCGCACAGAGTCGGACACGACTGAATCGGCCTAGTAGCAGCAGCACAAACAGCAGGACCTGGAGGAGAATGCAAGTTTTCTGATTTCAGATTACAAACTCTTTCTCATCTACTCCAAAGTTTCTGGGAAAATTACATGGATTTTGTAAGAAACAATCAGCGAATATTTATTTATTGAGTACCAAGCTCCGTGCTCAAGGATCTTTCAGTCGAGTGGGTAAAGCAGACGTACGAGCTGATGATCGGCTGTAACATTGTGTGTTAAATGAGGTTCTGGGAAAGCACAGAATTCGATGGGGACACCCAAGGTGTGCTTCTGACCAATCTTGAGAATGAAGATAGGTTAACACAGAGCCGGAAAAGACAGCAGTTCGATGTTTGAGGCGGTGTGTTCCAAACAGTAAAGAGGGATCAATGGAAAGCTGTAAATGTTTGCTCATCCTGACAGGTTGAGACATTTGACAGAAGTGAAGTTTAGGGACTTCCCTGGTGGTCCAGGGGCTGAGACTCTGGGCTGTCGATGCTGGGGGCCCAGACTCGATCCCTGGATCTCACATGCCACCTCTGAGACCAGGCACAGCCAAATAAGTAAATACATGGGAGAAGAAAAAGAAGCGAAGTTTGGAGTCTCTGTGGGTGACAGCAGGAATCACCAAAAAGGAGTTCAGAAGGATGCGAAAATAGACTCAAAGATTTATTCAACAAAAGGAGATGGTGTATAAAAATGATAAGGACACAGTCCCCTGGGTTCAAAATGCTCATCACCTCTTGGGCAAGACAGATAACCAAATCATTACAGCACAATTAGCTGAGTTCTAAACACAGTGCCTCCTCTGGGGGCCCAGAGGAGGAAACCGTTAGTGCTGCTGGGGAAGAAGAAAGAAAGGCTTCGCGTGGGAGAGATTTGAGCAAAGTGACCAATGGGTGGGTAGCAGCCAGTCCTGGCAGATGAGGTAGACCCTCCCGGGCAGCTGGGACCAAGACAGGCACCTCCAATTCGTGACCCCAAATTGCATTAACCAAACGTTTTGCCATTGTCTCTACATTATCCTGTTAGAGATACTGAATGTTAGATGGTAATTCACAGCCCTCTTCTCAAGGAGTCTGAATGTTTACAGAGCACTCCCTACCTGGTGCGTTCCAGAAACAAAAGGAGCTCTCCAAAGATACTTTCAGAAGTATCTGCGGTACCAGGAAGCTCTGCTCATTTCTGGAGGCTGTGTTTGTGTTATAACCACAAAATCAGAAGCAGGGAGGGCTGGTGTGGACACAACTGGACCCACCTGGTGCGTGTGTGTGTATGTGTGTGCATGTGTGTATGTATGTGTGTGTGTATGTGTGTATGTGTGTGTGTGTGTGTGCGTGTGTGTATGTGTGTGTGTGAGTACTCAATTGTGTCTGACTTTGCAACCCCCTGGACTGTACCCCACCAGGCTCTTCTGTCCATGGGATTTCCCAGGCAAGAACACTGCAGTGGGTTGCCATTTCCTTCTCCAGGGAGGACTCTCTCTGACCCAGGGATCCAGCCCACATCACCTGTGATTCCTGCATGGGCAGGCGGGTTCTTGACCATGAGCACCACCTGGGAAGCCCGGACCCACGTGGTGCCCCTGACAAACGGACTCAGAATCCAAGTGTCCGGGTCATGGGGATAGAAAAGAAGACTCTTCCTTGTTGCAAGCAGTGCCAGCTTTTGCACAGGCTTCAGCTGGAAAGAATGCTACCCTTCCACGTCCTTACCATCTCACAAGGGCATCACGGGAGCACAGAACATCATGGAACACAGGCTTCTGTTTTTCCCTTAACAGCTCAGCATTAGTCCATGGAGAAGGGGAGGCAGACAGCCTGACACCTCCTTTGCTGACAGAAATACAAGCCAGGTGGGGTCAGCTTTACTGGTTTGGTGGAGCTTAAGTTATGCCTGGTGGGAGCCATGGAAATGGTGAAATGGAAACTATACAAATGGGTTGAAAATAAAGGGCTGGGCAGGAATTTACCAGGGAAACACAAACAAAAGATGTAGAAATAAAAGAGGTTCATAAAAGATTAACAGGCAATTTAATGTTTTAAATAGTCAGAGGGCAATCTGGTGAGGATAAAAAGCCATGACAAAGATACTACAGTGATGAATCTTTAGGTACTAAAACACAATGTAGTAAATATATATGATTAAACCTCTCGGAATGTAGACAGATAATTTGGTAAAACTGCAATCACTGTAGAGCAGTTCTTTTTGTCATTTTTGTTGTTGGGTATGGGCTTCCCAGGTGGCGCTAGTGGTAAAGAACCCGCCTGCCGATACAGAAGGCCTAAGAGACGTGGGTTCTATCCCTGGGTCGAGAAGATCCCCTGGAGGCGGGCATGGCAACCCACTCCAGTATTCTTGCCTGGAGGATCCCAAGGATGGAGGAGCCTGGCAGATTACAGTCCAGTGTTGAGAAGAGCCGGACAGGACTGAAGCAATTTAGCACACACACATTATTGGGTACAGTTGCTTTACAGTGTTGTGTTACTTTCCGCTGTACAATGAAGTAAATCAGCTCTCTGGGTACATACATCGCCTCCCTCTTGGACATTCCTCCCACCCCTCCGGGTCATCAGAGCCCCGAGCTGAGCTCCCTGCACTAGCCCGCAGCTCCCCACTAGCTCTCTGTCTCGCACAGGGTTGTGTATATCTGTCAATCCCAGCCTCCCAGTACGTCCCCCACTTCCTCCCACCACATCCACACATTTGTTCTCTATTCCCGCCCTGTAAACAGATTCATCAGTTCGGGCAATATAAAATGCTTACAGGAAAACACAGGCAGAACACTCTTTGACATAAATCACAGCAAGATCTTTTCTGACCCACCTTCTAGATTTGAAAATAAAAACAAAAATATGGGCCTAATTAAACTTAAAAGCTTTTGTACAGCAAAAAAAAAACAAAAAACAAAAAACCATAAATGAGACCCAAAGACAACCCTCAGGCTGGGAGAAAACGTGCAAATGAAGCAACTGACAAGGGATTCATCTCCAAAATATACAGATAGCTCATGCAGCTCAATATCAAAAAACAAAAAGCAACCTAACTGAAAAATGAGCAGCGGTTCTTGACCAAAGGCAGTTTTGTCTCCCATGGGATACTGGGCAGTGTCTGGAGACATCCGTGGTCATGGCAGCCGGGTAGGGGAGGGGAACAGGCATCTAGCAGGTACCTGCCATGATCAGGACACCCCACAGCAGAGAGTTAGTGGTGCAAAATGCCAGCCAGGCTGAGCTTGTATAATATGCAGGATGCATCCAATGGACAGGCCCAATGGGGGAGGGAGGAATATATATATATATATACACACACATATATGGAAAATATATATGTATACATATATATATATATATATATACACACACATATATGGAAAATATATTTTCTCTCTCACATCTATAAAACTGCTATGATGATGTTTAAGCTAGATAGCACATTTTGATTCATTTTTTAAACTTTTCATTTTTATTGGGGTATAGTTTATTATATATATATGGTCTTGCATATATATATATATGGAAAAGATTGAGGGCAGGAGAAGTGGGTGACAGACGATGAGATGGTTGGATGGCATCACTGACTCAGTGGACATGAGTTTGAATAAACTCTGGGAGACAGTGAAGGACAGGAAGCCTGGCATGTTGCAGTTCATGGAGTTGCAAAGAGTCAGACATGATTTAGCAACTAAACCACACAGCCAGTTAACAAACAACATTGTGATAGTTTCAGGTGAACAGAGAGGGGACTCAGCCATACATATACATGTATCCATTCTTCCTCAACATTTATTCTTTTGCTATTCAAATCAGACTATTAAAAATTCTAAGTTGAGGTATTATTTGACAAAATCATAAGACATTTAAACTGTACAATGTGATCATTTGATATATTACATAGACATCGTGAAAGGAATACCCGCCTTTGAGATCATTAATACGTCCATCACCTCACATATTTCCCTATAATTTTATGCCTTGTTCAATGTTAAGGTTGAATTCATGTTTTATAAAATTCTTAAAGTAAACTTAAATATTTGAATACATAGCTGAAATCAACTTGATTGATTTGAAATCAACTTAAGATTACAACCAAATTTATTGCCAATCCAACTTGAGTTTAGACTGGTTGGCACAGATTGGCTTAAAATACTTTTAAAATTTCTTGAATATAACCAAATTTGATCTCCCTAGGAAAGAAAAAAATGCCCAT